TTGAGTGGTCAGTGTTTACATTATTCAGGTCACGAAATACAGACTTACTGTGACGGTTGAGATTTGGTTCACTAGTTTAGATTTAAGAGTCAACTTGATCTGTATTGTTCAATAAAGTTTAAAATATATGTTAATTGAGTCATGTGTGCTGTTATTTTGTCATTCCGGGCTGTTTAAGACGTTTATTAACATATATTTTAAACTTTATTGAACAGCCAGCTTCTCAGATACACAGCTACAACACTAGATATTCCTCAGATAGTAATTTATATTAATATAGACCAATGATTATGGGTTCTATTCTTTTCATTATTCCGTAACAAAAGTATGGGAAGAAGTAATCTCGTACCCAGATGTTCTCGCTCTACAGGAGCGGTTGCGTTCTCCACTCTGATTGGATTGAAAGGAAAAGTTCAGAGCTCGCGCACACTGTGACAAGATCAGCACGCACTAACTGTACGCGTAAGCTTTTGAATTTATTTTCATATGTACCGAGTTAACTTGGCAATTTTCTCAGGACAATGGTTTAATAATTATTGGTAAAATATAGATTTTTTAAATAGATAGTTATTGTTTCTGGTGATTCAGGGAGTTTGAAGAAGTTTTTGTAAAGAAAATCTTTGTACATCTGTTAAGTACATCTGACGTATACAAGTGGGGTACAGCGCGCGCACTTACAGCGAGTCGGCGATTTCAGTTGTCAACAAATCTTGACCGAGGTCTTTTCGCGATCTTTTGCGCTGAGATGAAGTGCAGTCTGAGGGGATACAACTCAACAACCTGAGTAGATCATCTACGTTTGTAAATACCGTATCTTATCGCAGACGCGAAGCTTTTCTTGTTAGCCATGCTGGCAATGAGCCCACCAGATTCACAAAATATCCCAAAAAACATGCGCACGCAGTAAGTCACATTTCTGACACATGATTGTGCCATCAAAACGGATTTTACCAGATGTTCTCTCCCGAGGGTTGAGAAGATCTGGATACGAGATTAGGGAAGAAGTACCATCTCAAAAAAAAAAAACTAGGATTTTGGAGCTTCAAGAAAGAATACAAAAACATATTGCTAGCTAGACAAGTGTAGACATGTATTCTCCAACTCTACCAACTGCTGTATCTTGCCTTTCTCTGTGTTTGTTTGTTTCTTTTTTCTTTTTTTTTATTCTATAAGATAGTTTCACATAATCCAAAAAGTTTTCTCTCAAATGCAGGGGCCAACTCGAAAGCTCTGCTACTTTGGCCTCTGCACACTTCTATTTCCACGAAATACGCCGTTTATTTATTCCCACTAACAACCGTTTTTAATTCGGTCAGTATAAAATGCAGACTGCAGATTGCAGACTGGGTATAAAATGCACACTAGGTATAAAATGCACACTGCAGATTGCAGACAGGGTATAAAATGCAGACTGGGACCAAAACTGTCAATTCATGTTATTCGCGATTTATTTTCAATTTTAACTTTCCTTAGAGTCGCACATTCATCTTCCACAAAAAATTTCCCTCTTGGCCCATGCCCGGTGTTCAGTTTATATCAGTCCATCGCGAAATATTTAATCCGGTACATTCAGAAATAGATCTCTGTACCTGGTTAGTACAGGTCTTGTGTAATCATCGCCTTGAGTTAGTGACAAAAACGTGTTGTGAAAATAGGTCAAACCCGGGGTCAAATCAAAACGAATTGAATGTTGTTATACATTACACACCAGCCAGTCCCCTTTATATATGGAAAACTGAGCGAAAGGAATGGAAAAGAAAGCAAACAAATCGAGCCAAAGAAAACGAATACTGTATAGCCTTTCAATGTTGATGAGGCCAAGAAGGAAACTTTTCTCGACAAACTCGAAAAAGCGCTTGCGTGACACTGAGGGCTATGCAAAGTGCCATTCAGTTTGTTGACCATGTGCTAGTAATCCATCTTGTTGTCGTTATTTTATAGACTGGTAAGCTATGAAACGTATTTAATACAAAATGTACAAGTTAACATTGAAAATATATCCCATATTTAAAGCCCGGATTTAAAGACAAAGTGACAGTTTTCAACTCAGAAGGCGATTGCATGACTCCGGTAAGTTAAAAATTGAAAATAAATGGCGAATAACATGAATTGACAGATTTGGTCCCAGTCTGCATTTTATAATCTGCAGTCTGCATTTCTAGTCTGCATTTTATACCCAGTCTGTAGTCTGCAGTCTGCAGTCTGCAGTCTGCAGTCTGCATTTTATACTGACCGTTTTTAATTCCTTATGTACATTGTTAGTGTTACTGTAATCTTGAAAAAAGTGTGAATAAAACAAATTGAAACTGAAGTTGACTCTTAAATTCTAAACTAGTGAACCAAATCCCAACCGTCACAGTAAGTCTGTATTTCATGACCTGAGTAATGTAAACACTGACCACTCAAACATAGGATGGTCCGCCTGTGATAAACTATTACGCCAATACAGTCGAAGCTCTCTGAGCGGACACTCTCGCAAAATAAACGGCCGCCTTGACAAAACAGCTTGAACTCAGATAGCTCTGTATTTACACATTCGCGTAGAAAGCGACCAGATCCATTTTCTCAGTGCTTCCCGAGGCTGTCCGCTAACGACAGCCGCGACTGTATAAAGTTTTTCTTACCTCTACTGGAGTAAAATAGTCAATAAAGTGATCGAGCTGCAAAGACAAACTCGATCGGACGCCATTGATACCATTAGAACCCAGTCTGTTCGCAACTAGATTCGTAGACAAATAAGACGGAAATAAATGGACTGGACTCGTTTCTCATGGACGTGGGACGGAAGAAAAACGCTAACAAGTAAAATGCGTACTATCCTGATCCCTGTCTTCCCCTCCAGAATGGAGTGTTTGATATCGCTAAAAGCGTGCACAAAACCATTACTCGTGGGTGCAAGTTTAATATGACCTTGACAACATCGACACGAGGAACGTTTTTTAATTGTTCCAAATGGTCGAGACTTTCAACCCCTTTCAACCTATCAAGTTTTCAAGTATTATTTTAATAAACTTTGCTTCAGCTACCGCGAAATGTAACGTGAACAGCGACTCTCTTACGGGAGGTGGTCGCACATGGAGATTCGACTGTATTCGTAAAATCCCCATACAAACCAGTCGCGGATCCAGACCTGTTTCAGGACCTGTTTATAAGGTGGAGGCCCGAAAAATTTTCGGCCCTTTGGGCCTTACATATTTTCGCCCATAAGGGAGGGGAGAGGGGGGGGGGGCGGGCCCCCGGGCCCCTCCCCTAGATCCGCCACTGCAAACCCCAATATACAATCGAACCTCCCTGTGAGACCACTAACCGTAAGCGACCACCTCTCTCGTAAGCGACAACTTTCCCAAACTACCAAAATTTCGCCAGTAAAATCGCTACAAACGGAATCTCTCGTAAGCGAACACCTCTTGTAAGCGACCGCGACCACTTTTGAGGCCGATGTCTTGAAATTTTCCGTTGTTTTTAACCCCTTGTAAGCGACCACTTCACATGATCCGATCTCGCTTACGGGTGTAAATTGGGTTATGAGACGCCGTACAACCATGATATGGCGATTAAATTTGTTCCAATATTTAAGAACTTTTTACTTCAGAATCTGATTTCCTCAGTTTACGAGAGTCGCTGTTGGTTCACCATGACAGTGTCAGTATTGTAACTTGGAAGTTGCACTGAACGCACTGAAATCTCTTCAAACTACCAGCTGTGTCCTTGAATACAGCATTCTGGGTTTACGAATGAATTTATGCATGGATAAGCCTCTGAAACTACCCTCTACCATGACTACTACTGGCTATGACTCAAAATGTAGACGCCCTGTGGCCTGAATCTCGTAAACGACCACCTCCCATAAGCGACTACCTGACATTTTGGGTGGTGGCTTCACGCTTTTAGAACAAGGACATATATTCCTGTTTATCTTTCGGGCAACTATCGCACTTTTAGAACGAGGACATAATTTTCCTGTTTATCTTTTGCGCAACTAACACGCTTTTAAAACAAAGACATATATTCCTGCTTATACATCCCCCATGCATGGGCCTCTTGCAATGATGATTTTTTTCAATCTAATTTTAGAGAGTGGTCATACTGCACGGCTATTTTTAGTAAGACACCTGATTGATCAGTTGTAATGACGTAATACTCATTGCGGTCGGGATGACATGTACAAACCGGCACACCGAGAAACGCGATCACATCGTTAAATTTCGATTTACGATTTCAGTAGATGGCGAGAAAAATCTTCGCAATGACATCGGATTCTCTGATCATTGGCCGCGCGACCATGGGGACGAGAACTAAAATAACTTTCACAGCAGTGGCGCGGAGCTTAAAATAGATTGAAAAAAACTATCATGGGGCATGGGGATGTGTTCTCTTAAATCATCCTCTCTTGTACATGTCGCGCAACTATCACGCTTTTAGAACGAGGATATGTATTCCTGTTTATCTTTAGTACAACTAGCACGGTTTTACAACGAGGAATACATACATTCCCTGTCATCTTTCGTGCTACTACGCTTTTAGAACGAGGAATCAGCATACATTCCTGTTTATCTTTCACGCAACTAACATGCTTTCAAGCACTTTTAGAACAAGGAATTGTAATTTTCAAAGGGTGAAAAAATTTGTAAAATTCGCAAGGCCGTAACGAAAAATTGTTAAATTTGTAAAATTCGTATCTGCGTGCCTTTTATTTCTGGACTTTCGAAAATCCAAGCTGACCTTTTTTCGTACCCAAAACGAAATTTTTATCTCTCCGAAAATAATAGGCATTAATTTTCCCATATTAAGAAAGTTCGAGATGATATTTCCCTAACGAAAACTCCAAACTTTAATCCAAATATCTGAGGCGATTATAGCTGATTACTGCTGTCGGCGACGGCATATCATGCAGCTGACTACCACGTGAGTTTGGTATTGGGCGCCTGTGCAACAGCCAAATGTAGTGAGAAAGATTTTATTCTGTCAGTGACACAAGCTACTGGGAAAAAAATTCTGAGTTCCCCCAACAAGAGTCGAAGCTATGACCTTCCGCACACCGGTCCGACACTCTACCACTGAGCTACAGGAGACTCGTGGCAGCTAAGGCCATATAATAACATAATGTTACAAGAGGATTTACCGTTTTTCAGTCATTCATGTTTGTCCATATTCGTCAATTTAAACCCGTTTCTAAAAGTCAACAGTAGTTCTTTTCAATTTGACAAAAAAGCGAGAGCGCGAGTCAGTAATAAGAAACCAACAAAACAGTGTTAGTTAGTTACTGAAATGTTAAGGAAAGGAAAGCGTTGTTTTTTGCATCTAAAGAGCTGAGGACGCTTTTAGAAAATTATGGGATAGTGCGTTGTGTGAGTTATGCAGCCGACGATTCCCTGCTAAGCCGCCGTCCACGATCGTGGACGAAATAAACCGGTTTTTGAAACCAGTTGTCCCGAAGAATTCAGCAATCTGACTAGTAACTGAGCCCACAGTGACAAAGCGCATGCGTTTAACGTGGCCGCTGGTAAATGGTGAGCCCACATGTGACATACGATCACGTGCGAAAATTGTTTGGTCGCTTAGTAATGCTAACGCATGGTCAATAGCAATCGTTTCGAGTCAGAGCAGAGTCTCCTTTTCTTCCTGCATGCCTCAAAATAACGGAAAAGGAGACTCTGCTAGCAGGGAAAACCGATGAGAGCTTGGTACAGTTCACAAGCTTCCATGACAGTGCAAGCGCGGTATGAGGAACTGAAATATTACGAACCACACGATATAAACAACAACAATTTATTCATTATGATATTTACTTATCTATGCATGGCATTATTAACAATTGTTGGATGAGGTTTTTGTGATATCCAGAATAATCAAGGTCTCGGTAAGAGTTATCAGCCGAAGCCGAAGGCTGAGGCTGATAACTCTTACCGAGACCTTGATTATTCTGGATATCACAAAAACTGAATCTAATAATTGTTTTGTTATACATGTATTCAACGAAAAAAATAATGCTTCTGCCACCAGCGGCAAGCAACACAAAGCGCGCGAACTTGACATGATTACCCGTGACCTTGAGTGTCCTTGACATGATTATTGTATAATCTGCAGGTTATTACCCGTGATCCTCTCGCTAATCTGTAGGTAGATGATGTAGATGCTTTCAAAGGCGCTGATTTCGAAAATTCACTGCACGCTTTCGGCCAATCAGAAAAGAGATAGTGAGTTGAATGTATAATAATACTAAATAACATCAAATGTGTTATATCAAGAAATATAAAGACAATGTTTTCATATCTCAAACAAAACTTTGTGCCTAAGAGACATTGCCTCAAAGACAAGAGCAGCAGTTTAATATATAACTTTGTATCTAATAACATTGAATAAATTTGGTTGAACGATCGAACAGCGTTCTAAGAATCTTTGTTGCATATTAAGGTACAGCAAGAGAGGGTAAAGTGGATTATTGTACATTTTGCTCACTATCTCTACTCTCATTGGCTGAGAGCATACAGCTAATTCACACTGGCATCGAATTGACCGCGTCATAACTACAAACACTAGGATTTATGCATGCAATTACGCGTCATACCTACAGACAATGTATGTACATTGACGTCATGCATGTGTACCACGCATCGTTCGCTTCATTAGCGCCGGCAGCGAAAAAAAATTAAAATACTCCAAGATAAGATAAGATACTTTATTTAACCACGTATCACTGAGGAGCTAAAAGAAGCTCGTTAAAAACGTGAACGTGAAATTATAAATAAGTAAAATGGTAAAAATTATTACATACATTAAATATAAAAAATCCGCGAAGGAAAAAGCTATAAAAGGCTGCAAAGTTAAACTCGAAATGATGATTTAGCTTTTTAAATATAATGTACAATGAAACAATTCAGTATTGGATTCGATTTTCGCATGATAGCTTCGGCAGATAACACAAACCTGGGCCTTGATAATTCTCACTATCATGCTCAACCTCATCCAATAATTGTTAATTATCCTCTCTTGGGTACTCGTGATGTAAACATTTACATAATCAAACAAACATAAGATCGCTTGAAAAAGAAACCTTCATCGTCACAGTCTTAGATCTACTGTTGCTAGGATACCCTGACTCTCTCTAAGACGGACACCTCCCTAAGACGCACTGTTAGTGTTGGTCCAGACACTGCCGTCAGTCTTACAGAGAGTTGACTGCATTTGTTAAAACACAAGCAAAGGTTTGGAGACAGTGTTGAAGTACAAGGACTGTTGGTGTTTACGCGCTTGTTGTAGAGTAATCCTATGACAGTCTGGCTTCTTATTTTAAACACTTCATAAACGTGTGCAGAAGGTAACTGATGTATGATCTCGGTCCAATCTATCTCATTATTACAGACTATTACAGACGGCAACGATAGGGATGAAATGATGGTATATTTTAAGCTTGGCAGAAATATGAGAAAGATATTATTCTGTCAGTGACACAAGCTACTCGGAAAAAAATATATTATATATATATTATATATATTATATATTATATTATATATATATTATATGGCCTTAGCTCCCACGAGTCTCCTGTAGCTCAGTGGTAGAGCGTCCGACCGGTGTGCGGAAGGTCATAGGTTCGACTCCTGTTGGGGGAACTCGGAATTTTTTTTTTTTTCCGAGTAGCTTGTGTCACTGACAGAATAATATCTTTCTCAATAGGGATGACATCACAAAAGTAACTTCGTTATGAAAAAAGAAAACAGTTATAAAGATTGGTTTTCTGAGCCTGACTGTGTATCACTAAGGGACTGACCATTTTATTTTTGAGAGTGCTTGAGCAATATTTCTCTCCACGCATTTTTTCACCCTTCCATCTACATTGTACTTTGAATTTTTTCCTTTGGTTTGTAGTACAAGGGATTTTTTCCTTAACTCTTTCCCTGTGCATCCCCTAGCCCGAACCTTCATGAAAAATAAAATGGTCCGCACGTAACCGTGGTAGCTCAGCTGGATAAATAATTGCTTGTCACTGAGTCCGGTTAACTCTTTAAGGTGGCCAGCGGCTATTTATTGGAGCAGAGGCTCCCGTTAACCGATTTTTGTATTTTTTTGTATTCTAAATAAGGAATTATCAAATTATAAAATACTTTTAACTTTAGAGGAAACAAAATAAATTATTAAGAGATACAAGGGCTATTATTGTTTTTTTAAGAAGACACAATATTTTCATCAAACGATAGATTTTGTCTAATAGGCCCTTTGCATAATACGGTCACATGACCATTTCAATCATAAAAATAGGTGGTAGTACAAAACGGTTGCCAGAAATGGAAAGAGCATGATGAAATTAGTAAGGTTGCCAATTTTGAGACCGCTGTTGCTTAAGCGTGAGATTTTATAGTGGTTTGAAAGTTTGAAAAATTTAAAGGATTTGTATGGCTGGATGGCAACAGCCAGACAAATCCTTTAAATTTTTCGAACTTTCAAACCACTATAAAATATCACGCTTACACATCAGTGGTCCTCAAAATTGACAACCTTACTAATTTCATCATGCTCTTTCCATTTCTGGCAACCATTTTGTACAACCACCTATTTACAAAGTCGGCTGCATAGAAATTGCAGCACAGTAGACTGCTGAATTTTAGCATCAAAATAATACGCTCATGCATTTGTTTCAGCTGTTGCAAAAACGCTAAAATAATGCTAAAAAACGCCCCTATAATTGGAAAGCTTGATACCACCCAAAACGTTGCGAAATAATCGGAAAAGATCGGAAAATTCCCAGTAAAGACAAGGTCTTCTAATAGCGTTTGCATCTCTTAATCGTTTTATTTCGTTTGCCCCAGCTAAAATTAAGTTTTCTATTAATTTAAAGATTCCTTATTTAGAACATAGTTAATAGAGGGAAATGGTTATGAAGCCCGGCAAAGTTCTTTGTTATATGTTTTTGTTCGCTGTTTTGGCCTTGACCGTGCACAAATCCTGACAAAATACAATAGGTGGTTACGTGTGTCTAAGCAACTAACCAATAGAAACGTTGCGATTACGTAATTCAACCATCGCAAAACAAAAGATGTGCACGGTCATGGACCTTCTAACATAAATCTTGGCCTCTTTGTTTGCTCCTTTGAAGTTTTCCGGTCTTCATAACCATTTCCCTCAGCTCTATTAACTATGTTTAGAATACCCAAAAAACAAAAATCGCCGGTTAACCCTTTCATGCCGAAAAATAGATTTAAAAAAGGGAGCCTCTGCTCCAATAAATAGCCGCGGGCCACCTAAAAGTGAACACTCTTAAACGTATTCTGTGGTTTTCGTGTTCCACTCCAACACTCACCACAAGTTGCACATGTCGTTAATAAGAGCTTCATTCCTGTTTGATTTCTTTAATGTTCCTTAACAGTTCACAGATACTGAAGCAATTGTCATGTTCCTCGTCCGTACATGGCGTTTCTGCATCATGGGTGGCTTTATGTCGCCCTAGATTCCCAGACTGTTTAAAGCACTTTCCACACTGGTTGCACTCAAAAGGCTTTTCACCAGTGTGTGTTCTTTTATGAGCCTTCAGGTTTGATGCATCATAGAAACATTTACCACAATGATTACATTCGAAAGGTTTGTCTCCTGTGTGTGTTATTTTATGTCGCTTTAGAGTTCCTTTGGCGGCCAAAGCACTTACCACACTGGTTGCACTCAAACGGCTTCTCGCCGGTGTGTGTTCTTTTATGTCTTTTTTACACATGTTGCATCAGTAAAACACTTCCCACACTGGTCACATTCAAACGGCTTCTCACCGGTGTGTGTTCTTTTATGTCTTTTTAGACATGTTAAATCATTAAAACACTTCTCGCACTGGGTACATTCAAACGGCTTCTCGCCTGTGTGTATTCTTTTATGTCGCTCTAGACTCCCTGGATGAGTAAAGCACTTGCCACACTGGTTGCACTCAAATGGCTTCTTGCCGGTGTGTATTCTTTCATGTTGGTTTCTGCTCCCTGGCTGACTAAAGCACTTCCCACACTGGTTGCACTCAAAAGGCTTCTCTCCGGTGTGTGTTCTTTTATGTCTCTTTAGAGTTGTTGCCAGATTAAAACATCTCCCACAATGGTTA